CACCGCTCGCCTGGGCCCTGGGTCTGCCCGGGGCTGCGGGCCGGGCCTGCCTGCCCTCTTCCGCAGCGCGGGTGGCCGGGTCGCCGGGTGCGGGGTCTAATCCGAGGGGACCTGTCGGCCTCTTGTTCTGGCAGCTTCGGAGGGTGGCCCCGCCAGGCTGCGCCGGCCTTGGCCTGACCAGCAGTGAGTCACCCCCGCCAGGCCTCACACCCCTGAGGCCTGCGGTTCCCGTTAGATCCGAATCCCGGGCGGTCAGGCCTGGCCCTGCCCTGAGGAACCCCAGACTGACAGGGCAGGACCGCAGGACAGGGCAGAGCTGGCCCTTCCCTCTAAGACCTCTCCTGGCCCCCTTGATAAAAGGTGACCGCTCCCTCCAACCGCAGCCTTCCCTGGGCCTGAGGCCTGCCCTCCCCGCGGGGCCTTGGCACCAGAGACATCCTCCTCCCACACCTTTCCCCCGGGTCTCCCCAGCTCCTCCCCGTGCCCTCCCCTCCTCTGCTCTGTGATTGGCGCGTTCTCCTATTTGGTTTCTTTCTTCCTAGCAGCTGTGTCTTCATTGTTATCTTTTTAGGCAGGAACTCACTCTGTGGTCCAGGCTTCCCTCAAAGTCCTGACCCTCCAAGTGCAGGTATCACAAGGCCTGGCCCTGTTTAAGCTTGTTTGTTTGGCCGGTCATGGGGCCTGAACTCTGGGCCTGGGCGCTGTCCCTCAGCTCTTCAGCTCAAGGTGAGCGCTCTACCACTTGAGCCACAGTGCCATTTCCGGCTTTTTCTGCTTCTGTGGTGCTGAGGAATTGAACCCAGGGCCTCAGGCATGCGAGGTGAGAGCTCTACCACGGAGTCACCTTCCCAGCCCCCCTCTTTAAGTTTTTGGTACCCCATGCCAAGGTAGCAAAGCTCAGGTACTCAAAGGGGCAAAGGCTGAAGCTGCCTCCAGAGATAGACTGGAGATTGGAGGACCCTCTGCTCAGAGCTGGACTTCCTGCTTGGGAGGAGCCAGGAACGGGTGCCCCACCCATGGCCTCTGCCTTCTAGAATGTCGTCCCCCACTTCCCCCACGGCGGGGATTGGTTGGAACCCTGTGAGTCACAAAGTTGCCAGGTACCAAGGTCCGGCGTTTGGGTTGGCGGGCTTAACTTCGGGGACCGGTGAGTGGGGGCATGGGGTACACAGGGATCTGGCCAGGTTTCCCAGGGCCTTTGAGTGCCTATGCACCCCCCCGTGCCCCAATGGTGGCAGAGCACGCGTGGGCCCCCAAGGCCTTACATGGAGGACTGGTGACCCTGGGGAACCCCAGTTGGGGTCAGCCTGAGTGTGTGTGACAGATGAGGAAAATGAGGCTCCGGCATTTTCTCAAAACCACCAAACTAGACTCTGTGTCCAGGTGGCCCCATTTTCTTCTTCCCCTGTCCACAGTTGGCCCAGGCCAGGTTTGCATGAAGATCCTCACCTCTCAGCCTTCTGTGCAGCTCATTGTGTAGGGTGACAGGGCTGGGGGGGCGAGTCTCCCTGGACACAGCCCCTCCCCCAGGCTCCCTCCAGTGTCCGAAGCCCTGAAGCTCGCTGGCCGGCTGCAGGGCGGGTGCATCACCAGCTGCACTAACAATGCCGATTGTGATCACTCTCCACAGGCGTGGGGCAGGCCAGGGCTCACACTGTGTAGATAGGGGAGTGGAGCCAGAGGAAGGGGCCACTTGGGGCAACTCTGAATGCTTCAGAGCTGGAGACTCGGTGAGTCGGCCCAGCTGTGGATCTGGGGGTGCCGTGCGGAGGGAGCTCCGCAGCTCCGAGCCTCAGTTGGGCCCTCTGCCAGTGTTGGCTCTGACGGGGAAGCTGATGAGCTCCCCGGTCCCCAGAGCGAGGAGGCTGCTGAATCCTGCCACACCAGCGGGGACTGGCCTGTTTCTTTCCATAGTTCTACCCATGTGTTCTATTTCTTTTCTTTTCTTTTTTTGGGTTGGTCCTGGGGCCTGAACTCTGGGCCTGGGCGCTGTCCCTCAGCTCTTCAGCTCAAGGTGAGCGCTCTACCACTTGAGCCACAGCACCACTTCCAGTTTTCTGGTGGTTCACTGGAGATCAGAGTCTCACAGACTTTCCTGCCCAAGCTGGCTTTGAACCATGATCCCCAGATCTCAGCCTCCTGAGTAACTAGGATGACAGGCATGAGCCACTGGCACCCGCCTCAACCGATGTGTTATTTATACTCTTTATCTATTTTGCAGCACTGTTACTTGGTGTGCATATACATCTTATAAAATGACACTTCAGTTAATATAAAATGTAACCCTCATGATAGCCCATGTCAGTTTTGATAAAGATATGAGCATAGAATATAATCGGCATTGGCACACACACGCCCCTTTTTTTTCTGTCCTGGGGCTTGAACTCAGAGCCTGGATGCTGTGCCTGGTCATCTTTTTGTTCAAAGCTGATGCTCTACCACTTGAGCCACAGCTCCACTTCCAGCCTTTTGTTCACTGATTAGATATAAGAGTTTTACAGGCTGCTTGGTCTGGGCTGGCTTTGAACCAGGATCCTCAAATTGCAGCCTTCTGAGTAGCTGGGATTACAGGTGTGAGCCACTGGCGCCCAGCTTTCTGATATTTTAGTGTGCCTTGTGCATGGACCCTGTATCATTCCTCCTTGTGTCGGTCTTAAGGACAGCGCCAGCCCAGAGCAGTGTTGCATGGACTGAAGAGCTGAGCCAGCGGACGCTCCAAGGTTCGCTTCTGAGATTGAGCCTTCTCTGCTCTTCATCCAGCTGTATGAGCTTCGAAGGTGAGAAGATGCCTGGCAAGAGCTGTGCTCCCCACCCTCATGAGGGATGGTAGATGGACGAGGGGACGGACGGATGGGTGGCTGGATGGCTGGATGATAGGTGGATGGATGGGTGGATGGATGGATGGGTGGGTGGATGGATGGATGGATGGATGATAGGTGGATGGGTGGGTGGATGGATGGATGGGTGGGTGGATGGATGGATAGGTGGATAGGCAGATGGGTGAATGGATGGGTGGATGTGTAGATAGGTGGGTGGATAGATGGTGGGTACGTGGGTGGGTTGGATGGTGGGTGGGTGTGTAGGTGGGTGTACAATGTTTTGTGTCTAGTACCAGGGTTACTAGAAAGTGTCCACACTCTCTGAAGGCTGCCTCCTCCATTTCACACCCAGACCCAAGGGCTGCAACGGAGACACAGGACTCCATCGGTGTGGGGACCAAATAACAATAGCCCACATTCAGACAGACAAGTGGGGTTTGTAAAACAATGTGGCTGGAGCTCACTGGGTAGCATAAGATTGGGCTCAGTGTGGAGAACAGGCATGTTGGGCATGAGGACAGGAGGCTTTGTGTGTGTCAGTGCAGAGAGCAGAGGTTTGTGAGGGAGACATCGGGAGGTGGGCAGGAGTGGGGTGGGAGGGCACCAGGGACAGCACTCTCCCCAAGTCACAGACCCCAACCCCTGCCATCCCCTATCATCTATCATCCAACATCTACATCCACCACCCATCCATCCACCCACCCATCTCTCCATCCACCTATCCATCCATCTGCCCATCCATCCATCCATTCATCCACCTATCCACCCATCCACCCATCCACCCATCCATCCATCCATCCATCCATCCATCCATCCACCCATCTGCCCATCCATCCGCCCATCCACCTATCCACCTATCCACCCATCCACCGATCTGCCCATCCATCCATCCACCTATCCACCCATCCACCGATCTGCCCATCCACCCATCCACCCACCCATCCACCCATCCATCCATCCATCCATCCATCCATCCATCCATCCATCCATCCATCCATCCATCCATCCACCTATCCACCCATCCACCGATCTGCCCATCCATCCGCCCATCCATCTATCCACCTATCCACCGATCTGCCCATCCATCCATCCACCTATCCACCCGCCCACTCATCCCCCCACCCATACCCCCTTCCCCCCTAGTCGACCTCTGCCCTACTCTCATTGTCCATTCCCCTCTCCTGGCAGGCCTAGCCCAGCTGCTCAAGAACCAAGACAATGCAGCAAGCGACACAGCTCCCCACCACACACCAGCTGCCACCCACCGGGCCATGCTTCCCCGTTCCCCAGCAGGGGCCTGGCCTCCTGGCAGAGCTGGGGATCCCCCCTCTCCAGCTCCAGCCCGCGCCCTCCCAGTCCAAGGCCCACACCCTGCCAGCGGCAGCTCCAAATCAGCCGGAGCCCCTGCGCGTGCCCCAGCTGCGCGCCGTGGTCGAGAGCCAGGCCTTCAAGAACATTCTGGTGGATGAGATGGACCTGATGCTGGCACGGGCGGCCACGCTCATCCAGGCGAGCTGGCGGGGCTACCTGCTGCGGCAGAAGCTGGTGTCGCAGATGTCGGCCGCCAAGGCCATCCAGGAGGCCTGGCGGCGCTTCCACACGCGGCGCCTGCTGCGCTCCAGCAGGGCGGCGCTGCGCAGGGCCCCCGGCCCCGAGGCCGACGCCGACATCCCCTACCACGCGCCACAGCAGGTCCGCTTCCAGCCACCCGGCGCCGAGTGCCTGGCCTGCCCGCCCCTCATGGTGAGCAGGGAGACTCAGTGTCCCTCTTGGGACTGCCTGGCTACCTGCGTCCCGCGGCCCGCACTGTCGCCATCCCCAGCCGCTGCTCCCGGTGCTGGCCGAGCCTGCAGGGCCGCCTTTCCACAGCCCGCCACGCCCTCGGGGCTCCCCGGCCCCTGCGGTCTGGAGCCGAAGTTCCAAAGCGGCCTGCTGACCAAGACGGTGAGGAACACCTCTCTGGTGCAGCAGACGGAGAAGGAAGTGGTCAAGACCAAGCCGGCGGCAGCCCGAACCGCCAGAGCCCCGGAGTCCCCTCCCTGTGGGAGGGGGGCCCGGGCCGGGTGCCGGGGGGTCAGGGTCCCGACCCAGACCCCTGCGGATGCTGAGGACCCGAGGCCGCAGCCCCACCCGTGCCCGGCACCCGCCTCCGCCAAGGCCTTCCTCAGGCCCTGCACCGGGCTCTCCACGCTCAGGCCCCCGGCCCAGGGGGGCACAGCACCCACCAGCAGGACACTGCCGCAGAAGTGTGCCACATCTGCACCTGCACCACCTCAGACGTGCCATGAGCCCGCCACACCCAGACCCCCGGCGCACACGCACCTCCTGGTGTCTCTAACCAGCATGTCCACGCAAACGCGCGCACCCAGCACCCTGCTAAGGCCATCCGTGCCCGTGTGCCTGCTCTCCTCCACCAAGACCCCCGCCCAGCCTCGCCCTGCAGCCGCCGGAACCAAAGCCCCTGCCTCACCGTGCCCGGGTGCCCCGGGGAGGACCGCGCCCCAGGTGCGCCCAGTGGTCGCCCCCTCCCGTGGCCCGGCCGCGGGGCCCTCCAAGTCCTCCTCACAGACGGGGCCCCGGCCCCCGCCACAGGCGCGCCTGGCCGCCATGCTCACCAGGACCCCTGCCCACATCCGCAACGTGGCCACCGTGCTCAAGACGCTGTGCCTGGTGCACCCCAGCACGGGCACGCTGAAGGCCCCGGCCTGCGCCCCGCAGTCCGCCGGCGCCCCCAAGCCCAAGGCCTCCGCGAGCCTCAAGCCGGGCGCGGGGCCTGCGCGGCTGCCCTCGCAGTCCTGCGTGCCGGATGCGAAGGCCCAGGCCGGGCCCCAGCCACAGGAGGACCTGGGGGCGCCGAAGGCCCCGGCCAAGGCCTCCTTGGACGTTGAGAAGACGAAGATCTGCGCCCCCAGACTCGCAAAGCCGGAGATGGTGTCCAAGTCGAGCATGACGCTGGCCATGAGCACGGTGGCGTCGTGGTCCAGGGTGGCAGAGGCTAAGCCCAAGCCCGCGGTGCAGACCCAGCAGACTGAGATCATCCGCGTGCGGTCTCGGCTGCTGGTGCCCGCAGACACGTCCGTGGCTCCGACACTCACCAAGGCCACAGCACACACGCAGACGCCCACTGGACAGAGCAGGGCCACGCTCCAGCCCCGGCCGGCCACCGCCCCGCCCCTGCCGGGCCCCTACCCCACCAAGACTGCCCGGCAGGCCAAGGCGCTGTGCCAGGCCCAGCTCACCTCCTGCCTGAGTCGGCCGCACCGGCCGGCCGAGCTGACTGTGGTACTGCCCACCACCTGTCCACCCCCGGGGCAGCCGCAGCTGGCCACCTGCTTCACCAGAACCGCGGCGCACTTCTGCCCGCCCGCCACGCAGACCCAGGTGCTCTCGCAGGCCACGCGGCTCATCAAGGTCTCCTCCCAGCTCTACTCCTCCACCGAACCGCACCGGGCCCCGTCCAGCCCCGCCAAGCTGGCCAAGGCCCCATCGCTGGCCCACCTGGTCACGTGTCTGACCCGCGTGCAATCCCACACCCACAGGCCGGTGGGGCTGGGCGGGGACACGGCTGGGTGCATCTACACCGCCCGCCCGCCGTCCACCTACCTGGGCAGCAAGGCCCAGTCACAGCCCCTCCTGGTGGCCTCCAAGCCGTCCACCCTGCCCAGCCAGGACCCAGGGCCTCCTGGGGCTGTGTCCGGAAGCCCGTCGGACGGCAGAGCGGCACCCATCCCACCACGCTGCCTCACTCCGGGCCCTGGGCCCCGTCCAGCCGTGTCGGAGGCCGCCAGCACGCTGGTCCCGCTGCTGGCCGCGGCCAGCTGCACCTGTCGTGGGGACGCGTGGGGCGACGGCCGGGAGTCAGCGTCACGCCCGCGGGCGCCCGCAGGAAGCCGTCCTGAGGACACGGCCGCTGCCCAGATCGCCGCGCTGTGCGCCGAGCTGGCATCTGCGCTGGGCTCCCAGGAGGACCTGCGCAGCCTGCTGGCCCGGGCGCTGTCCCAGGGCGAGGTGCGGGCGGCCCTGAACCAGGCTCTGGGCAACACCATGGCCCGGGCGCTGCCCCACGGTGTGCTGAGCACCGCGCTCACGCGGGCGCTGTCCTGGGGCGAGCTGGGCGTCACGCTGACCCGCGTGCTGTCCCGCGGCGAGCTGCGGACGGAGCTGGCCCGGGCTGTGCAGGGCAGGCTGGCCGACGTGCTGGGCAAGGCTCTGTCGGACGAGGAGCTCCTGGCACTGGGCCAGGCCCTGTGTCCTGGGGAGCCGGGCGTCCTCCAGGGCCCAGCCGGGACGCAGGTGACCCGGAGGCCCACGGCCACCCTCCCCAAGGCCCCCTCGAAGCCGGCTGGAAGCAGGATGACCGTGCTGTCAGCGCCGGGGGCCCTGGACTGCCGCGTGGACCCCCCACTGTCGTGGGGCGTTGCTGTGAGCTCCGGGAGGCTGCCATCCTGCAAGGTCAGGGCCAGGCGCGTGGCTGTCGGGGGCTACACTGCAGCGCTCGTGCGGGCTGGGGGGGATGGCACCGCGTGGGGGGGGCCACCCTGCTTCCCCACGGCCCCCTGCGGCTCGCTGGCCGCCGCCGGCCCTCCCCAGGGTCCTCTTCTCATCGTCCCCGGCCCCATCCCATCGGGGCACCCGGGACCGCGTGGCAAGGTCGTTTCTGACCTGTGTCTGCGCCCCAAGCCGGGAGCCTTCTGCCTGGGCCCCGACTGGCTGGCGGGAGGAGAGGGCCCCCACTGGCCCCAGTCTCCCCAGTCCCGGCCACCCCCCAGCCCAGGGTGGGTCCTCACTGCCAATGGCATCGGCCCCAGCTCCAGCCGGGTGCCCGAGAGTGGCGGCCCCGGCCCCCCGCAGCCCCCCGTGGCCAGCACGGTGGCCCCTCAAGCGTGGATGCCGGTGGGGGAGGACAGCGTGGCGTCGCTCAGGGCGGGGGGCGTGCAGGGTGCCCACGGCTCGCGGGCACCCGCGTCCCCTCCCGGCTCAAGCTGCTGGTGCCAGAGTGCAGGGCGCGGCAGGACGTCCCCCATCATCTGCTCCTGCTCCGTGGCCAGGTGCCTCAACCACCTGTGCAAGGTCACGGAGGAGCACGTGAGGACACACAGCCAGGCGTCCCCCCGGGCGCCGGAGGGCGCGGGGGCCCCAGCCCCTCATCCGCGCAGGACCCCCGCCCAGCTCCAGGCCCCCAGCGCCGGACACGGGAAGAGTCTCAGGAAGAGCCCCCCCTCCGGCACTCCGGCCCCCCGTGGGCCCGCGGCCCGGCCCCGCCGGCCTATGTCCCTGCTGGACGAGCTGGTGAGCGGCCTGCCCAGGCACCCGCGGGAAGTCCTGGCCAAAAGCTTCAAGCCGGGCGCAGCCCGCAGCCCGGACAGCACGTCGCCCAGCTCGGGCTCCAGCAGCAGCTCTGCCCGTGCCACTGAACTGCCCACCGGGCCGGGGCCGAGGGAGAGCAGGGCAGGACGACAGGAGGGCGTGCGACCCGGGCCCGCGTCCCCCTCCCGGCCCCCGGCCGCCACCACCGGGCCGCGCCCCCCACAGTCTCCCCGCTGTGGTCCCCTGGCCGACCACGCGGCCTCCGGCCTCCACCGGTCCCTGGGGAGAGACTCAGGGCGACCCGCGCCGGCCCCAGGGCCGCCCGAGCCGGGCCGGGCCCGTCTGAAGAGGAGTCTGTCCCTAGGCGCCATGGTCCCCCCGAGGGACCTTGGGCCTGATCCTTGTCCACCCAAGACCCCTGCAGCTGGGTCGGGAGCCCCGCGGGCCCACCCCCCACCTGGGGCCCTGGGCGGAGCTGCGCCCCCAGCCCCCAGCCAGCCCGGTCCTGCGGCCCAACCCGCGGAGCCCCGCAAGTGGCCTTTGGGGTACACTCCACCACCCTTGGCTGCTGGGGGGTTCCTCAACTTTGTCCAGCCAGCCTTGGGGTGCGGGACGTTCCCTGCCTTTGTACAACCATCTGTGGAGTGTGGGGTGTTCCCACATTTCGCCCAGCCGTCCCTGTCTGTTGGGGGACCTCCACATTTCTCCCAGTCTGTTGGGGGACCCCCACATTTCTCCCAGCCGTCCGTGGTGGCTGGGGGACCCCCACATTTCACCCAGCCGTCTGTGGTGGCCGGGGGACCCCCACATTTCGCCCAGCCATCCGTGGCGGCCAGGGGACCCCCACATTTCACCCAGCCGTCTGTGGCTCCTGGGGGATCCCCACATTTTGCCCAGCCGTTTTTGGCGGCCGGGGGACCCCCACATTTCGTCCAGCCGTCTGTGGCTCCTGGGGGATCCCCACATTTCGCCCAGCCGTTTTTGGCGGCCGGGGGACCCCCACACTTCGCCCAGCCATTTTTGGCAGGCGGGTTGTCCCCAGTCCTTTCCCAGATGTCTGCCGCCAGTAGGGCGTCCTCCCGGGTCATCCAGACGCCCTCCTGCCTCCGGGCGGCCCCCAGGCTGACCCCAGCGTTCCTGGCCGGCTTCTACCCGGGTCTGCCCCAGCTGTCGGCCGCCCTGGGGGCCCTGAGCCTGGTGCAGCCCTCGGTGGTGGTCGGGGTGGGCCACGGCTTCCGGGAGCCGGCGGTGCCGGGCAGGGGCGGTGCGGACCCCAGGG